GAAGCAAAAACAGCAACATGAAATTTAAAGCTCTGAACTTCAAGAAATCACATATATGAAGAGACTGGAAATAGTCGAAAGATCTCGGTAGGAGAACTACTAAAATAAAGACGATGTATTACAAACAGCAAATTCATCTCAAGAGACTCTGTTACATCCAGTGTGATGACAGAGGGAAAAAGTCTGTCGTTACCAATACCTCAGCGAGAGGCAAACTTCTGTCCAGTTTGGGACACCACATTGGGAAAAATTATAAACTAGGGAAGTCAAAGAAGAAAGAGTACTAATAAAGTAGAAGGAACTTAACTGCTCCATTCTGAAGAAACAAGCAAGTCCTCCTACAGAACAACAATTTTTAAGAATGGACACAATCAGCCTCAAATAATAGAAGGAATCACCTTTACTTGCAACTCTCATGTGGAGATCAAAACTTTCAAAGACTCCACAAAAATCAAGTATTAAAGTTTATGCCTACCACACGTACCTAGGATGAAGGCAGGAACATGTCTAGTATTTTCTCATTAACTGCTGAAATATCCTAGCCTACATTTTTACCAGTCACCTCAAACTAGAAGCCATGACTCCATCCTTTGCCCAAGCTACTAACTCACCAAGGCTTTCACCGCTCCCCAAGCAGTCTAGGAAAAATACGCAGAAGTCAAGGTAATTATTATAGCTGCCATAAACATTCTGTGCAAATCCATCAGTACAACAAAGATGCATAGATTAGCCTTTATTACAAGTAGCTTATACTTGATTTGAAGGCAACTTTTACTTGACCAGTAACATTAGTTTCCACACTGTGTCTTACCCATCATTTATAAAATTGTCTAAGGTTCACTTGCAGCATGGAGAAAAAAATAAAAATACAGGTTATGAAATGGGAAAACAAAACAAAACTCACAACAAATAAATACATGCCAGAAATTACACGTATGCATTTTCCTTGACTCTAAAGTCAGGTAGCTTAAATACATCTAAAGATGAAAAAACAACAAAGTACATCTGTAAGTACACTGAAGAAATTAAAAATACCAAAACTAAACAAGACATACAGTAAGATGAAAACAAAAAAAATTAAAGTCTAACAAGAAAGGAAGAGAGTGAAATAAGTGTTCTGACACGGTATATCACTTCACTTTTCATCCTAATGGCAAGCAAAATTAACCACACACTTATTTCTTACGCTCAGAACTGACCTTAGACGTACAGTGTATATGTGGTTCCCCTTCAGGCTTTAATCCAATTATCTATAGGAGAGAAAGTTAAAGTATTTATAGACTTTCTTCCCCTTTCCTGTTTTTCAGATGGAATTCAAACTTTTCCTTCGCTTAATATGAAAGTTCATACAGGGAGCAAATCTATCTACTATCACTTTTATATAAAGCACAATTTTAGACTAGGACTAAGATTTAAAGCATTGTTAAGCTAAAGCTCAAATAGTTAGAGTGTCCACAGAAAAAAAAATTTTCTTATTTTACAATCAGCATGTAACACTAATGGCTCAAATCAGTTAGCAGTTCAAGTAATGTATACCACCACTGAAAAGTCAAATAGTTATTCGCTCAGTAAAGTTTTCATCACCTTACGTGGTTTAGGAGTTGCAGAATGCATGACATTCTAATTACATTTCTAGAATGCAGACAGGGAGTAAAACTCACTTTACCTGCACAGTGGTTTAGAATCTGTTACAGAGCACAGTAAGTAAAACCAAAGAGCACTGTACTCCTTAAGACAGGGCTTTCAGATATCCTGATGCAAGCAATCAAAGCCAATCTTGTAAGTATTAGAACGCTCAAAAAGCTCACTTCATTTTACTCTCTGAAACACATGAATTGCTGGACACCAGTAAATTACAATATTCCAAAATGCAAATATCTTGCAAAGCACACTGAACACGTATTTCGGTCCTTTTCTTCAGTTATTTTTCGTACAGTGGTAGTTGGGAGCACTTATACTGAGAATTAAAAACCAAATAGGCACTTACTCTGTTCATTTTGACAAGCACGCAGGGAGTTCCTTTAGAATAGCCAAAGGTCTTATCTTCCTTTCCAGAGCACTGTCCAAGCTCAGAGAGGTTAAATCGACATGCCTTTTTAACAGCAACATCATTCTGATCAAAAATCCTTCCTGGTGTACAATTTATGTTTGGCGATTGCTTTGAATCGTCATATGCTGTGAAACAGAAACAGCTTGTAAACCAATGGCATAAAGCATACAAGTAGCCAAAAACTGCAGAAACCTATATAAATATCTAATTTACAGTTGTTACTTGTCTAAGGGTTTTCTCAAAGAACTATTTTCAGAGCACTGTGTCTCATATCCATCTTAAACACTTTTTCAAAGCCTGTCAAGAAGTGGCACTGTACTTGAAAGATTAAAAAGAGGATTGCAAAATAAAGACGGCTGTCCTGCTTTCGGAATCATATCAGTAATCACAACTTCATTCATTTCTGTACAAGAACCAATACTAAGCTAATTATGTATTCTAAACTAATAATGTATTTAAAAATAAACAATCACGTTTTTACATGGAAGCTAAACCAGTTTTCCCTTTGTATATGTTTCTTTTATAAACACACAGGAAAACTTCAACTATTTCAGTGACTAGTATTAAACTGCCTCTACGTTTACATTAGTACAAATGTCATTATACTAACACTCCAGGCCGTTTCTCACGTTCTTATGCCTCACAAGGACACTGATCACATTGTCAAAAACGCTCACTGACCCACATTTGACACACCTCGTGGTTTCATTCCTCTCCCTTACACCACACCCCAGCTGGGCAAAACCAATGGAAAATGGAAAAAGGGAAAATGGAAAATGAAAGTTCCTCCTCAGTGTGACCCCACTGAGCTGCAGGAGAGGCAGGTAATGATGAAACACAGCATTCCTCCCAGGGACCCCTGGCAGAGCTCTGAATGAAATGCCTACTCATAGAAGCTTTCAGTAGGCACCAAAACTATAAATCCAGACGGACTCAAGAGTAGCTCATGTAGCGAACAAAGGAACTCATGCACACAGGTGACGTTTTACAGGACCTCTCAGATCTCGCTTACAGTTTTGAGGGGTCAAACTTTCTAGTATTTTAAACTGATTTCTGTATTTCTAGGTTAAGTGTATGTACAGGCCCATATATAAAATGATGTATGACAAACTAGTGATTTTCCCATTCTTGTCCTGTGTTACCTTTTCTCCAGGTTCTAAATTCAATGTTTTAGTATTTCTGCCCATAAATACTGTGAATCAGGGTGAAAATGAATAAATTGCAATTACTTTAATCTTCATGTACCTCATTTTTTAAACAGGCAGACACTCAAGTTCTTAAGACTAAAGGATTCTCAGTTACCAAGCCGTTTAGATGAAGACTGATCTTACATCTTGATAAACTTTGCCTCCAAATACATGACCTATGTGATTTTACACTGAACCTTTTGGCATACGTAATTTCTACATCTTGTAGTATTTAAACAACCATGTCACCAAAACACTGCAATAGTACTTAGAACTCTCCATTATGTACTCCACTACTCCTTACGGTCAGGGTCCCCATCCAAGATAGGTATTGATACCCACCTTTTCCTGTAAAGTATATACTTAAAAACCAACACATCTAGAGGAAGACTGCACTTGCATCAGTTTTCATTAGCAACTGGTAAGGTCAAGCGAAAAAGGAAACAAATGTGCTCAAGATTAAGACTTCTGAATTGCTTGGGCAGTTGTAACTTACTTACATTCAAGAAATTTTCTAAGTGTAGCAACATATTCTGCATATGACTGGGCGTCACTCTTGTTAAAGTAAAATTCCAGTGCAGTGTCTGGCTTTGGTGAAATCATAAGTCCTTAAAAAGAAAAAGTGCAAAAGTGCAAGTAAAGAACTAAACAACATCTCTTCCCTACAGCACTCTAACCTGCTCAAAAATCACATCCATAAATTGTAAACTACCTATTTGTAAAGAAACATCAATGTGACCCCTATATTGCACAGCACTGGAAGGTAGTAGGTGTTTGAAGTCAGTTATCAAAATCAACATTTTAATGAATTAGTACTTAAATGCAATGTAATTTATAACTGCAATTCACAAACCAAAGCCAAACTATTAAGAATAGCAAAATCAGCAACTTAATCACTCTCAATCAAATTATTTTACTGATTCACTTCCCACTTCCATATTCAGCAAATTGAACTTAAAAGATAATTGAAAAAATACCCCAAATCACACCCAGAAAACCTCCAGTTACAGCTTTGCTTCAAAGCTTGAGGCAACATAGAGCGAAGCCATGATTGTATTCGACTCATAGAAACCCACAAGCAGCAAAGTGTTCTTAAAAACGTTATAATGCCTTTGAAGATGGCTTGAAAGATTTCCCAACCAAAGCAGACAAGCCAAGTTAGGTGTTAGTCCTTTCCTCCTTCTCCTTAACCAAAATTGGGATGTCATCTGTTGCCTGGAGAATATAAGAACCCCCGAGACAGCTGCAGGTGTGTCACTTGAAAGGGGTACGCCTTCGTCAGTCTGGGGCGACCACGGACGCCTCCCAGGCCGCTAGCAGCAGGCACTGCAGCCGTCAGGGTCTGCTGCGGTGGGGGCCTAGGGCTGGCTCCATCCCGCTGCTGCCGGAGGAGACTGGAACAGGAATGACCTACAGCCAGGGCGCCAGGACACACAGGAGAAGCAAGGACACAGATTACCAAATGTGCAAGTCCAGCTTTGTGCTGAAGGATGAAAAAAGCAGACGCTGACACGGAGTTCTTCATAGAAGTGAACTGTCCTTCTTCCCAGGATATGGGTAAAGAAGGGCACAGAGGTAACCCGTAGGGATATTTCTGTAGCAGGTGAAAGCAAAAGGCACACCTTCTGCTAACACACACCGGCCAGTACCATCAGGGGTTGTGCCTAACACGGATACCTAACGCTACTACCGCTCACCACAGCTTCGGCAGCAGCAGAAGCAGCACTACTACCAGATACTGCAGAAGACATTGAATCTGTTCAAAAAAGGTGTATGCTTGATCGCTTTGTTCACACTAAAGTAACTCTCACTCAATATAAACAATTAGAACAGATAAACCTCCTGCAGTTGTAATTAACAGATGAGCGTCCATGCATCTGTCTCTTCACGCATAGCTGAGCACCGACGCTGCAGTTCCACAACAAACCACACCACCACCAACCCAACCTGAGTTTTGTTGGATTAGTTTTCTTCTAAGTTAGAATTTCAAAGTGGTTTGATCAACATCAAATTTGGCATAAGGGAAGAAGTGTGCCAGCAGCAACTAACTGTATCAGCTTAGGATTCCATGTAGCTTCCTATCCTCTAGCAAAACCAATTAAAACAAGGTTGCCAAATGAGTAAAATTTAAGGCAGGAAACAAAACTAACTTCCTTTCCTTTTTTTTTTTTTTTAAATAATAAAATTTTAAAAAATAGGTCTTCTTTATAAAAAATAATCATTTAAGAAGGTAAGACTAGAGTGGGAAGATAAAATTGGATAAGTTGTCTTAATGTTGAATTCTTAATACATTCTGTAGTTAATCAATTACAGTAAGTTTTTGGAAAGCATTCAGAAAGTGCAATTCAGATTTACCTACAGAAATGACCAAGCTTCTCATCCAAAGGCAGAAACTATTACAGATGCTAAAATTGGGAAATAATAAAGGCATATGCTAGAAATTTATCATAGACAAACATATTTTTGATTATATATATAAATGCTTTCTTTACCTTTTTTTGGTAAGATTTCCAATAAAACATAAACTCTCCTTTCTGCATTAGCAGCAGTTAAATTATTTCCAGGCAAGCCATAACTAAATGCCTTAATGACTGACAGTCCATATAAAACTACAAATACCATGTTTGACTGCAAATCACTTTACACCACTACAGTCATCCTCTGGCCTCCACACTGAACTGGGATTCAACAAAATACAAGATAATGAGTAACAAGGCTGAAAAACTGCTGAAGGGGTTTAACACACTAAGGGGGTTTGGGGGAGAAGAGATTGTTATTCTCTGTAGAACTGCACCTTAAATGAAGGACTTAGAGGCTGTTTTTCAAAGTGAATACGACCAAGTAACTGAACTAGTCACCAATGAAATAAACAATAATTTGAAGAGATTTACTGCTGCAGGGGAACTTCAAAAACATCCTAAGAGGAAAGGACTGCTCCAAATTCCAGGGGATCACAGTCTGCCTAGAAACTATGGCATAAATTCCACAGAAAAAACTATTTGAAGCAAGATGGATGCATAGACTGGGAGAGATGCAGACTGGGCTCTTCTAGAGGAACAGAATTAGCAATCTGAACATATGATCACATCTAGGATTGTGCCAGAGATTACATTTTCCTACAATTCCAAGAGAGATTCTAAAAAAAGGTTTTCAGATCATCTGGATTTGATTGATACTATTATGTCCCAGTGTACAATGCAAGTCAAATACAAATTACAAAGTAAATCAACTGTGAGATTTCCAAATATGTTTAACACAAGAGTAAAACCATTGACCTACGCCATCCAGGTTTTGTTTGTAGAAAATTTTTTTATAATTTAAAGTTTTACAGCCAGGAACATGACATGCTTCACTGCAAGTGAAAAATGACAGAGTTAAAGAGAAACATTAAAATAGAAATAAGCATTTTCATTAAACTTTTATGAGTATGAATCATTAAAGACATTGTTAATAAAAAAATTTATTTCAAAGGTTATACCAATTCTTAAGTTAAAAACTAAATCTGGCATACATACTTTTTAAACAAACATCCCTTACGACTTATTTCAAAACAAAGGATCATTAAAACCCTGAACTGCAAGAGGATAAGGGGATAAAAATGTAACTCAAGTTCAGTATTAAGTCACAGCTACCCACAACTCCATCCACTACCACAAAGGAAATAGGGGAAAACGGTCAACTTGCTACCTTTTTTCTTTCTTTCCCCCCCTTCCATTTTTTTTCCCTCCCAAACTAAGCAGGTCTTTTTAACAATTATTATTCTTTCCAGCATTTAGCCCATTCTTAGCTTGAAAAAACAGCACAAATCCTCAAGAATCCCTTTGTTAGGGGAGGCCTGAACATTACATCAAAACAAAATCTGTTCAGAAACCAGAGACATTTATCACATTGGCCCAACTGCAACATGCTCCCACAAAGATTCCCGTATCAGCTGCAGTGATGATGCAGCTGCAAGATGGTGGTTAATTTTAAGGGTTTGGAGTTCAAATAAAGGAAAAATTATTGAACAAAAAGTATGTTAACTTCCACCAAAATATTAATACTGCATAGCCATTTAGTTTTATTGTGTTTTAAATACAAATTTGGTCCCTAAGCAAAGGTGTTATAAAATTTGAGATAACTTATCAAATTTGCAAGTGGCCCAATCACTTAAGTTGCATACACAAATAAAATACTTGCATATTCTCCAGAAACAGCAACTAGAAAACCCTAATCTCTTAAAGTATGCAGAAGTATTGCTGAAATCTTTCAGAGTGAAATTCCTTATTTTTTTATTCAATATGGGATACTCCAAAATAGACACTATAATGCAAGATTTTTACGATATATTTGAACCAATCTTTAAAAAAAAAAAAAGGCAAAAAGACAACCACCTTATTACTAATTTTTATTTGTGCAGGGCTTTTTTCCTGTCACATACACCTCCTTGAACCAGCCAGCAGTGGGACTGGTTAGGCATGTACACAAAGAAGCAGTAGTCCCATGCAGCAAGACACCACTTTTAGTGGCAGCTACGTGTTACTTGGACTTGGCTTCATCATAAAACGGGGCCCTCTCTCTTCAGTGGATCCCTACGTCATTGGTCAAAAACCCCTGGAATCCAGAGACATTTCATGCCAGTGGAAAGCTATCTAATGCTACAATGAAACCTCTGGAAAGGCCTTCATATCATAGTCCTTATACGCTTTTGAGCAGATCACCCCCAGAGTACAGCCTTCCTGTACCCTCTTCAAAGTACCAACTCACTGAATAATAATCACAGTTTCCCACAGGCAGTTCATACTTCAAACAAACTCTCAAATTAAAATTAGCTCACAAAGCAGACAGAAGTTTTATTTAAAAATAAACACACTGTTACCTGGACTAGAAATCCGGTCACGGTATTTTGGTATATCACTGCTCAGTGTCTGAAGCATAACCCACATTGTGAATGTGAAGAGCGCTGCTAGGAAGCCATAAAATACCAGATAGAATAGTAAGATCAAACCTGTAAAGAAAAAGCTAAAATGACTACTTTTGTTTCAGCTAATTCCATTACCTATTTTGAAAATCAAAATGGGAAACAAGCAATACAACGTTTGGCTTTGGTTGCCCCCCCATCCCTTGCCACTGCTAATTGTAATTATAATCAAGATGCCTCTAGCATACACATAAATCGCACAGTGAAGAATAATGTGCGCTCAAAAGTTTTCTTCATACTTTCTGGCTCTTAAAATTTGAAGGGCATTTTGGCATCTCTGTTTTTAAGAAAGAAACATTAAAAACTGCTCTTTGGGCTACGTCGGAAAGCTGGTAAAGATGGCTAAGCAGTCCAGCAGAAAAAAAAAAGCTGTTTCACTTGTTTCAGGGAATTATAGTTTTGTAGCTGGAAAGGAAGGGGTGGTAGGGAAGATAAAAGAACTGAGTGAAGAGCTAAAATTATGACACTGGATCCAGAACAGGTAGGAAGCAACTGGTGCCTGAATAACACACTTGATATTTGAGACAACCCCGCACAGGGCACGCATTCACACGTACATCCCGTTACCAGAGACGGCAAGGTGAAGGCGCTTGCTGTTGCATACTTCTGAAAACAAACCAAGCCTTCTATCCCGACTTATCAAAAGTCTTTGCCTAACAAATCTACCTCCTTTACCAATCCACCTCAGGGACCCAGCAACATCCCTGGAATTCACCAATTACACAAATGTCACAAGTTTCAACTTGACAGTTGCTTAAGGAAGAGCTCCTCGAATCCTGAGGAAACAGCCTTGAGGGTGTTGTCTATTACAACACTCTACTTATCTCCCACTTACCTGCACCAAATTGCTGTGTTCCCCCTGCCCCATTTTTCAAGGCACACACCCAGACATGCACCCTGGATACACAGGTCAGCTGCTTCCGGAAAGACAAGGCAACAGACAAGTCCCAGTTAGCATTTTGCTTCAGAGATGACAGGGACTAGCATCAGCTGCAGAGATCTTCCAAGAAATTTCTGCCCCTCTTCTCAGAGGCATGATGCACAACCCCCATTAAAGCCTTTTAGAATTTGGGACAGCTCAATTGTCTGACAAGTAAGTGTTCAAACAATGTTTTGAATTCTTGCATTATTTGGTTTTTGACGCTGAGGGAACCCTTGTTAGTGTATCTCATTAAAGCAAAACTGTAACCCCGTACTACTTGTTACATCTCCTTGGGTTTGCTTTCTGAAGTTCTGAGAACACCTATTGGCCATTACTGTTAGATCATCTTTTAAAAATTTGTATTTGCTGGAGATAGTGCCCATCTAAAGATGAAGCATGCATACTATGTGGATGGAAGACTTACTAAAAGGCACTTAAGATTCAACAGAAACTGTGTTATTAATCGAGTATACAACACTAAATACGGTGTGATTTAAGACTGAACACTTCAGGACACACGCACAGACAGTGCCAAAAAGAGCGGGAGCTATACAAGCACTGAGGAATTCAGATGCTTGCACAGACAGCCATCTCCAAACCGTAACCAAACAATGATGCAAATTCAATTTTTATAAAACATTCTAGCTTTAAGGCTGCTATGGGGAAGCCAAAGAGATATGACTCGGGTCAAGACAAGCACATCATAACCACTACGCAACATCCTACCACTGACGATTATCTGAGAGAATCAAGCGCAGAATTTTTCACCCTTCCACAGAAAAGGAAAAATCAGAACCAAAACTGCCTGTACCCCAGTGACGAGTACTGTCCACTGGAAGATGACAGATGGAAGCCTAACCCCTGGCTCCTGTCCCAGAAGCTATGCTTGCATTCTGCACTGACGTATTTTCCAGCAGCCCCCAGTAACCCATGACTGCTGAAGATGCAAGTACCTGTGTTCCTTCTCCTGAAAGAAATCGGTGTACATATATTAAAATAATGAGGTGGTTCCCAAATTATCTTTACTGTAAGTTCTCTGCAGCAACCAGCTGAATGTTTCTGGGTTTTGGTTTGGATTCAGTTTTCAACCTCACAGGCTGAGAAAGTTACTTACCGGTCGGCAATAAGCTGAAAACAATTGGCTATTTAAAATACACTTGGGACACACTGACATGTAAGGTGCAATGCAGTGATGAGAAGCGGCAAAGGATGCGAACACAAGAACAAGCTTATTCTATAATGAACAAGACAGCTAGACATCTATCATAAACCATTTCTAAGGCTATTTAGAAGCTGCTTAGAATCTGAAAAGAACATCCTAATCAACAAAAGCCATGACACCATTTGCATCTGTATTTGGCACACCAGCAATCTGTTTTAGCTGGATCCAAAACAGAGCAATGATCTTCTGATTAATACCCCATGTATTTTGGGTATCATAAAACCAACCAAACTTCCTTACAAAACTCTTGGTCAGCTCTCATTTTAGTCCTTTCAAGTTCATCCATTATTGAATAGACTTTCATCAAGCTGTATAAAACGTACACTTTCCAGCAAGTGGTCAAGACAATAACCAGTTCCAATGGAACAGAAAAAGGTTTGACACTGAAGACAAGACAAGCACCTCCTGTGGCAACTAGCATAAAGGCAAGAATATCTGGGAAATCTTTTTCACTGAGCTATTTCAGAATACCTCTGTATTTTAATTTCCAAAAGATGATGCCTAACGTTACTGCGTAAAAAAGATTAAATTAAATACAAATCCCACTGCCTACTTGTTTATTACTGATGGGCACAGGCCCTAAGGACAGCACTGCTTTGGGCCAATACTGCCGTAACATCTGCAGTACCAGCCTTGGGCTCCATTCTGAAGCACCCTTCGGAGCTGATCCCAGCCTGCCCGCAGCTCTTCCTTTGCTCCCCACCTCCAGAGCCTCTCTGCTCCACAGGGAAGGGGGCCGCTGGGGTCCCTCCCACAAGCTGCAGTGTGGCAGAACTGCAGCATGTAGGCAGTCGCTGGGGAGCCCTCATGCCCACGGAGGGAGCCCCAGCACCAGGGAAAACGAGAGGGACTCCGATGTCTAAACCCCGGAGATCGACTCCACAGTGCAGACTGCAGTGCCAACAGTCCCTTAGGGAGTCCTTGTTCCCCCCAGCAGTATCATACCCACGGGGGCTGCAGCAGTAACAAGGCTAGAAAGACTGTTGCTGTCCACAACTCCAAAACTCCACTAACCTCCCCCAGTCCAGCAAAGTGCCCGTGAGTGCACACAGAGGTTATTATTAATCTTTATTTTACTATAGCTTGTAGATGTGCTGCACAACACTGACCACTAAACCGCCCCCATTTGTGCTACTCTGCCCTATTAAAAAGAGGGAAAAAACAACAAAAAAAGCACTCTGCAGCTTCCAATGGCCCCAAACTGAGTAAGCTGCTCTTTGTGAGCCTATTAGTATTAATTATCCTAAGCTAATCACAGTGAACAAGCCATAACCTGTCAAGAAGCTCTGCGAAAACAACTTCACATAACACTGGATTTCTTGTGAGGAAACGAGATGCACCCAAGTCCCAGTGGAGCTATCTTCCACTCTGACTCCAACGGCAGCTACCACACCTGACATGTAACCAAACACAAGTGTTGCAGAACACCTTGCTGCACCGAACCCTCCAAGTCTCTGGGTCTTTGACACGAAAACTATCACACAAGGAAATCTGTCAAGACCAAGATTTTGCATCACAATTTACCTTGGTTTTTTTGGTGGGGTCTTTTTTTGTTTCTTTTTGCAGGGCATCACCATTCCAAAAACCCTTCATAACCTAACCACATCGATAAGCAGAGGTCAGATATGGAAAACTACTATTTCTGAACCAAGATATTAGTTGGAGTTCATTTGAAGGGATCAGGGAACGTCAGAATTTCTCACCCTGGTGAATGCAAGATATCGTGTACCTGGCCACCACTTCCATGATAAACAGAAGCTTTCCAAATCTCAGATGGCTGAAGTGGTAAGAAGCATGTAAATCAGGCATAAACCAGATGGGCAGATCTATGTATACATAACACTTACTTAGATAAATATAGGTATCAATGTAAACACTCTCACAACAGACATGGAAGCAACTATTTAACGTTACCTGCAACAGTGAAAATGAAATGCTGTCTTCATGGCTTCCTGGACTACAGGGTGCATTGATCCTATCACCTGCATGACCGTTCTTCAGTATCTTTAACTAGTGGGATTTAATACCCAAGTGCTGTTACTAGTGACTACCACCACCGCCAGCAACGTCAAGGACTTCCGGTCCCCCTGCAGATGGACTTCCTTGCCTTAAACTAACATAACTATACCTATTAGGTAAGCACTAACCAGGTTTCAACTTTATTTTCTAGACATCTGCGAATTACTGTTTTCCAAATTTTGTGGATGGTAGTGGGAGGAAGAGGAAGAAAGACTTCAGGAAGGAATAAAACCTCAGTCCTGTGTTACAGTTTATTTCACAGTAAGCCAGAGAGCCACCTATAACACGGTTAGATGCTTCAGGAGACAATAAAAATTGTCAAGTGCAACACTTGCAAAGAATGACAAAAGCCAGTGCTTAATGTCATGATTAAGCATTTACAACACTTAATACCCCCAAACCCCTAACACACCCTCATGGTACCACCAGATCTCACTGATATCTGCAACAAGAGAAGGCAAGCCTTTTTTCTTCAGTCATCTGCGTCATGGAAAATAAAATATTCTACTGGTTTCCCAGTTATAAATTTCTTATGGTAGGCAGTGTCATGGAAGTGTTTGGTCAGTTTTTGACTGCAGTCATATTCCTGGCTGCACAGGAATTTTTACATGAACTGTCCATCTGCCACAATAAAAAAAAAAAAAAAAAAAAGAGCACTGTCTCTTTCCAATTCACAACTTGGATGTGTAAGTGCTTCTACTACAATGGCAGATGGTGAGGCAGAATGTTTAATAATACACTACTTGAGAAGAAAGCTAAATCACAATGAAACCCTACTCAAAACACAGATAAAGAACACAAAAGAATCAAGCCAGAGAAGAAGTTAAAATGTTGACAGCACTGTATGTGCCAGCAAGAACTCAG